CTGCAATTTGTAGAGGTTGTAAGTTATTTATTAGAATAAATTTTTAATAAAGCAGAGTTTCTGTAATTTGTTGAGGACGTGAGTTATTGATGAGAATAATCTTTTAATTATACAAAGTTTCTGTAATTTATAAAGACCGTTGTGAATGTAGAGATAAACTTAAGTACTTTATGTCTACGAAAGAGAGAGTTCAATATTTTGGGGAGGCTTTAAATAAATGAAATGATTGTCAATTGTTGGAGGATTAATACGACTATAGTTCGAGCAAGGATTGTGAAATGTAGAAAAAAACTGAAGTATTTTATGTCTACGAGAGAGAGTTCAATATTTTCTAATGATTTTAAGTAAATGAAATGATTGTCTATTGTTCAAGTAATAATACTACAATTGCGAGCAAGGGTCGTTAATGCAGGAACATACTAAAGAAGTAACATCTTAAAAGTGATGAGGAAGTCTTAACTAAGTTTTATCTCGATTTATTTCAACGATTCAATATTTATTTATCCTACTAAAACAATTCTTTCGGTTGTGGTTTAAAGTTTTTACAATCTGAATCCTTGCATATAATCTGATACTTATATGTATCGGTATCAACGATGATACAAGTTTGGTTTGATTTATAATGGTGTTGTGAATGTTCATAAAATCGAAATGAACTATGCTTCCGATATCGTTGTTTATTGTACATAAACACCGGAGCACCTCGATTAGTTAACTATTGTCCATTCGATATTAGATTCCATGTTGTAAATGATATAAAATATGTTAGTAGAATTTCGAACAAAAAACTAATTAAAAGCGCTAACAATAAATGCTCTCTCTCTGTAATTTAGCGAACTCTACAAATTACAATAAATTCGTGGTAAAAACTTGAATAGATCTATCTAGAGCGAGCTCTACAAATTGCAGTAAATAAGACGAAAATTGAAAAGATTTATATGCAGCGGACTCTGTTTTAAACTCATTGAGATGTTTAATATTAATTTAAGTTTGAATAAGCTTTATATTTAAAATTTCGTTTTAAACTTTGAAATTAAGTTATAGAATTTTAAATTAATATTTATGTTCATGTTCGCAAATGAGAAGCTTACCACTCACATCCACACCCACCCTAAAGCTGCTCTCTTTGTGAAACAGAAATCTAAATCAAACTCACCTTTTTTTTCAATATTAAATCGAACAAGAACGTCAGAACAATAGTCATGACCCGAAAAGTCTTCATTATCGACAATTGTAACTGCAAAATCATCCTCAGAAATATGACCGGTACAGATCATTTCAAAGTTAACCACTTTTGGACATTGCACTGATAATAATAATTCTCATCTTTTTGCATTAAGAAAATGGTTCCAATCCCAGAAAAATAATTTCTTTAAATTTGGTGTTTGTTGAAATAAATATTCCATATATTCAAATCTAAGAACGTCTGATAATTTTAAATGCAAGTCAATGCACTCAATCAATATTGGCGTGGCGATTGTCATTGGCTGCTGTTGTTCGTTCGATTGTTGATGATAACATAATTCATAATCAATGCGAAATGATTTGATATTTTGCATGATAGGAAGTAATTTCATCAGATCTTGAAAAGTTAACGAGTCAATCGATAAATATCGAATATTTATTTTTTTCTTTGTTGCAACTAATGACGGAATGGTGAGCATCCATTGTTACATACCACAGCTGTCAATGCTGAAAAATTTTCAGTGATCGACAATAGTCTTGATTAAAGATCGAACGAATAATATATTCTTTTTCTTCGATACAATTGTCAAGTTCAATATGGCCCCATAAACCGATTTTCAAAACTTGTAGATTTTTCAAAGATGAAATTTGATTCCAGAATGTAAACGAATTATCATTGAAAGAATGCATAAAAGTTAATGATAGTAAACGAAGTTGAACCAATGAATTCAAAGAATAAATAGAGAAAAACTGTCGTATCTCATTTTTTTTTCTCTTGACATTAATGATTGAACATTAGACAAGTTGATGAACGGTAAAATATATTTCATAAAATAACACTATAAGTACATTTTCGATAAAAAATTTAAATGTAATACTATTTGATCAATGATCGCATCAATTCTTCGATTCAAATCACGAAATGAATACCATAAATTATTTATAGGGACAGATTCGAAGATTTCTCGCAATAATTAGACGAAAAATCCTTCAATTGCACTAAGAAGTATATCAGATGTTGTCGATCGGAAGCACAGGAAAAAAAATTCTCCACATCATGTATTTGTTATATATAATTAAAAATAATTCTACCTTGACCAGTCGCGAGTTCGATCTAATTAAAAATTGAAAACTGTAATGAGAAAAAAATCAAATTGAAAATGTTTTCGTCATGATGAGAAAAATTAATCACCAATAGTAAATATCGTTTTTAATTTTTATTCTACTTGAACAACGTTTTTGGAATGTAGGTTCTTATATTCAGGCTCGAGGATCAAATTGCACAGGATTGTGCAGCAAATGAAAATTAAGAAACCAGATCTATTGGATATTTATCAATCAATTCAAGTTTCAGAAACATTTCCTTAATGGGAATTTAGATTTGTTTCTTTTTCTCTTCTTTATCCTAGTATTTTGTTCTTTATTTTATTCTGTCTGTCGTTGTTAAGCATGTATTCATTGCGAAATCTATTTTTTTATCTATTGTTACTGCACTTTGAGGACACTGAATTACTACCTGTCAACTCTAATGTGCTGAATGGTTGACTGATGTGCGGTGTTATATAAAGACGATATTGACAATGAGTCATGCTACGAGTCCATTGCAGTAGAAATAATCACAGGTCTCCTCTGCACTGATCTCCTATCTATACCTATAACATGTACGCACAGTAGTCTTCATTTTTATTTCTTTTCTATCTATCATGTTCGTCAGCACTGGATTTTTTCATTCAAGATAAACACGTTTCGAATTATACACATTTGGGATACGTAATGACAGTGGAAAAGTTTCTTTTTGATCCTTGAACTGCATGCTATGAGTAATCTTCTTCACTCTATACGAATTTACTCTAGAACGTTTTCCTACATGAGATACAAAAGCTACTCACTAGAGATAGGCAAGTCGGCTATTTTTTGTCTAATGACTGACCTACTTGAAAGAGACATAGAGCATCTCGAGAAATCAATTTTGATTTTGAATTTAATTTTTTAATATCAAGTGAAGCTTGAACAACTGAAATACACGATGAATAAACGAAGTACAATTGGTACACAAGAAGATTATTCTACTTTCACTATTACGAGAGCACAGGTAAAAATAAGAAGAAGAAGAGAAAGAATTTTTTTCAGCATGTGACGTGTTCGAACTGATGTAGGAGACATCTATTAGTGTTACCATTGAATAAAACATCATGCATATTTCTCTCATTTTTCAAATGAAAACTTCGATTCGAACTCTGATATGATCAATGGAAATTCTATCAATAAAATTCTTCAAAATCATGCTATGATTGTATTTTTTCTGTGTAAAAATTTGAACAAACATGATTAGTTCATAATGCATCTCAATTCGTTCTCTTATGCCTCGTCTCTTTTGTGATCCTGTGATTCTTTCATTTTGTTTATGTTTCTTATTATGTGTATGATATATTTTCATATGTTTCTCGTCTCTTTTCGCTTCTGTTTCAAATATACATGATGATGAATAGAGTCGAAAAGAAAGAAATTATATCCATGAAATTTGCCATAAAAATTCTTTGAATTAACAAGTGTAAATACCAAAGATTTGAACAATATATTTCAGTTATTGATAGTCACGGTGTTGATACAATGTATTGTTTTGAAAGAGAAATTTCAAATAATGGATTCAATCTTAATTTGTCTTTCATGAATAATAAAATAGTGAAAGAATCGACATGATCACTGGAAAATGTGTTTTCTGTAGACTGACTTGACTTAACTTAACAGATGAACCGTTCCTACTTATTTCCACAATAAAATATTAACAAAATCTACAATTATGAATCGATTCTCTAAATTTTGATACGCACAGCAAACTTTTTGATGAATTCTAACTAGTGGAAAATGTTAACACACATAGTGGCTGAGAAGGCAAAGGCAATGAGTTTCGCATCTGATCATTATTGAATAGATCTCTCGAATAGTCGAATGGAATCACTTGAGTTTTGACGAGACTTTCTTTTCCATTCTTTTCTTCGGAGAAGTTTTTCTTCGATCAAGTCGAATCGTTGACAAAATGATTTGGTTCAATTTAATTCGTTTTTCCATGGGATGAACGAGTAAATATGCAATTCGCTCCAAAACTCGTCATAGACTATGAGTTCGAATTTCGAGAGAATTCTTTTCCTGTCGAGGGTGTGGGGTGTGAATATCTTCTTTCTCTAATTCACTCACACCCAAAATAATGCAAAAGATTTTTACGAAAATTTATGTATTTTAGTCGTGTCGATGAATTTCACGAGTAGTCTTAGCTGGAATGCTGAAACTTTCAGAAGTGGAAGATCATGATTAGATGCATATGTGATAAAACTTTCAGCTCTCCAGGTGAATAAAAAGTATGAAAAATATCAAAAACAATTTATCCTCGATTATTATGGGACATCCTTTATCAAACGTATATTTATTTTATTTCCAGCAATTCTTTCCTTTCGTTGAAGAGTCGAGTTTCCAAAAGAGAGAATCGCTTCTCATTGTTAATGCTCCTTTTAATTACTTTTAACTATTTGCATGATATATGTTCTTTATACATTTTCATGTTTGTGAAATGGAAAAATGAAATTGAAATATCTCTCTGGAATCAAAAACAAGAATCAAGACATTAGAATGGAACAAAATGTTCCATTTGATAGAAAACATTCATAAAGTTGAGATTGAACGAAAGAATAATATGAAGGGTCAATAGAAGAAAAAGGAAAAATGAGCAGAGTTTATGTGCATATTTATTTATTTAAATGAATTAATCATTAGTTATTTGATAATTTAAATCGATGTAATAGTCACATATAAAATATGCTTTATTTTGAGCCAGTATTACAGACATGTTTCAGGAAAAATTCGATGACACCCTTGATATATTTGATATACACCACTTCAGCATCAGCTTCAGCATTAAAACCATGACTACGACCCTCAGCTAGCATAAGAATATGAGGAATATGGCTGAATTCAAGTTGTCGTGCAAGAAACGTGGAATTGTCGGCAGGTGCTGCTTGATCTGCTGTTCCATGAACGAGATAAGTTGGAGGAAAAGCCGCGACATCAAGTTCAGGAAAAAGACATTGTGCTTCCTTGGGAATTTTTTTTCGTGCATCTTGCTCAGATGCTGACGTCGAACGAAGGATCTCCGAAAGGCCACGAATACCGGTGAGGTAATCGAGTAAGGTGCCTGTTTCAATAAATACTTGAGCGAGAGCACCAGTCGTCCGAGCCTTTTCACCATCTTCAGGAATCGGCCAAGCGAGAGGAACATCACTGAGTGGACGAAGAAAATCGCTCTTTCCGTCAATTGAATTGAGGTAGAGCTGATAATCGGCAACATTAATTGTCATCGGCGATTTGACAGAATAATAAAAGGGAGAAATAAGATGACCACCTAATCCATAGAGACTAAAGACGGCTTTGGGTTTAGGTATGGCATTAACAGCAGCAAGATAAGCGACATAGGCACCTCCACTGGCTCCAGCTACAGCAAGACGAGAAGGATCAATGCGATATGATACATCGTTCAAATCTTTGTTCAGTTGGTCTGATGAAAGATAATTGAACAAACTCTTAACATCAGCGAGAATATCATGACCAGTACATGGAATTAATAGCCGATAATCAGCAGAAATAAAAGCCCAACCAATAGCTAAAATATCTCCTAAAAATAAGCCAAATTTAGATAATCTCAACCAACTTTCACAGCTGTTATGGTGTATTTCTACAATCTCGATTTCATTCGAATGAATTTTTATTATACTTCGTTAAAAACAAATGAGATTGAGAGAAAAGTATAAACTTAATGTTCATATTTTAGAAGTAATAGATTGGTTTAATAGATTTAATTTTACGCGATTCTGAATTTTGCAGTAGTTGTAGAATACATATAAGGCAATCGCTTGTCTCAATCTCTTTTAATTAAAAATGAGACTCTGAATGATGAAAATATCAAGTTTGAGTTATTACTTCGGACTTTGTTTTTCGCTTATCTACCAATTTAATCAGATAGCCGTAGTCAAAATATAGAACTAGAGATTTTCTGAATATTTGCAACGCATGTGATTGACTTCTGAAAGAAAGTAACAGTGTAAAATCGAATAAAATTTGGAAAATTATCGGGAAGTGAAAATAGTAACGAAACTCTACATAGTAGTGGAGAAAATAGAAGGAAACAAACGCGCAAGTTTTTGTGCCTTTTCATGTACGATCAAAAGCAGCGAAATGAAGCGTACGCAAGTTTTGAATTTCGTCAGATTTCATGATTTGCAGAATTGATATCTTGCTATAGAAGTGATCAGTGACCGACTCGGATCGAGTCACAGCATGGTCGGGTCACTAAAAAAAAGTTTTCGAGCTCGGGCCGGGTCACAAAAAATTGACCGATTTCGAACTTCACGTAAGACAAACAGCAATTCTAGATCTGATAATAATTTCGTTATTTTGAATATTCAGAGAGCTTGTAGAGATTCATTGAAAAGATGCTTAATCTCTGGAAAAACTCGCTTTGAGTGGTCAAAAATTATCTTTGACTTCGGGTCGGGTCAAGAAAAATTGACGTAGGATATCCTAGGTCAGCGTTCGAGTATTTCCGGAATGGATTCGCCCAGGAAGCGGACCAAACTAAACCAACGACGGACCAAAATAGAACTCGACGAGCCCTATCCGTGTGCACTACTCACTTTTCCAAAATGACCCTTTCATCTTTGAGAAAAATTCCAAATTCAATATTTACGATTTTTCTGTAAGATAAAAGAGCCAGTTGGGAAAAGTGATTAGTGCATCGGATAGAGCTCGTCAACTTCTATCTTGGCCCGTCGTTGGTTAGTTTGGTCCGCTTCCTGGGCCAATCCATTCAGAAAATACTCGAATCCTGATCTAGGATATCCTACGTAAAAATTGACCCATGTCGGACACTTCAAGTGATATAATGTTCGTATCATTAGTTGCGAATAAAAGAATTGACTTACGCTTTAATTGCATTGGAATAAATGATTGTCTGTTGCCTGCAATCAATCCACCACCATGAAAGAAGATCAAAGCAGGGATAGTCGAATCAGTAAACTCTTCCTTTAATGGAAAATCAATATCCAAGCGAATCTCTAGATCATCCATGCGTGAATAAACGACAGTAGCCGTTGTCGACATTTAAGCAGGAAGATGACTAAACAACAAAATTACCAAATAACTGTCACAAACACTGTACTCAGTCAGGATATTTCAGATTCTTTTTTCCATAAAAGATGAAGAAAAGTAGGTGTCCTTATCGAGATGAATAATTTTTATAAATCTGTTAACATCGATGACACAGAGAGAAAGACTGTAAGAAAAGGGCACATCGGGTCTTCTCCTTTTCCCCTTTTTTTCTCTCTATTTTATTCTTTCTTGAATCTCTTTCTTCCAAGCGCTTACGAGTGTTATTATTTTTTTCTCTTTTTTTCGCGCTCACTCAATTATTCCTTTTCTTTCTGTGTTACTCCCCTTTCGCTTCTCCTTATCAGTATACTGTTTCTTTTCTTCATAATACTTTGTGTTTATTACTTTTAGTTACTCCCGTGATATCCTTACAAGCGTGAGCCAATACTCGCCATAATTATATTTGTGGCAAATTGTGCAACGCACTGCATTAATGATGTTGCTTCTAACTTAAATATCTCCAATTCTTTTTCTATCATGTAAGCACTTCCAAGTGTTACATTCACTAGCATGATAAAAAAAAGACAGTAAGAAATTAACGTACTGGATACAACATTAACAGTGAGAGAGGTAGGACAGAAAAAAAGAAAGAAAACTGATATAGTGATTCATCCCTTGTTTTTGCCTACGTAATTTTTGTCGTACTTTTACTAGACAGGTGAAACCTTGACGAATCTACATCGTCCCATTTTTTAACAAATTCGATGATTCACAGTGTTTTCTTTCGAATATCAAAAAATGAAAATAATTAAATCAATACTTTATAATATATAGAAGTCGTAAAAGTCCATTTTTATTCATATCTAATAGACAATATACTTATTGTGGGTTTGATGAGTAGGAAGGCAAACATTCAACGAAAATACTTTCTTTCAAAGTTTAAATGTTAAAATCTAGTAAAACATATTAGAAAAATTATTCTTGGATCTAATGTAGAGTAAAAATATTGTTCAAGGCAAAAACTTGATTCAAAAGTCATCATATCATAAAGTTGTATGAATATCATTAATTGATCGTTAGCCGTACTTGTACTGTCGATGAATATAACAACAAGTAATTCAAATATTGTGCATGGTGCTTGAGATTTCAAGAAAAGTTGAAATTTTTTATTTGAAAGTTCGTTTCGTAATTTTAAGAAAATCTGTCAAGCACACCGTCGTCCAAAATTTCAAGGCATTCTTTGAGGTTCTGTAATATCAGACGAATATTGTGGAAATACTTACTTTTTCATGAAAAAAATATATAATCTTTGATTTTTGGTATGTAATAAAGCTCATTCCAATGGTTAAATCGAACTGCAGCAATAACAATGATCACCATCTGTTCTCATTTTCAACTATACTTCACATATTTCCATGTAAATATACATTTAAATCTTCTTTGATCTCTCAAAATTCGACAATGAATTGCGTTCAAAAAGTAATTAATAGTTTTCAACATGTAACAATGAAAAAGATGTCAAAGTATTTGTAAACTTTCGATCATGTGTATCACAAATTCTCAGTCCAGAAGAAAGTTTTCTAATAAAAATGGTATTTTGATAAATATGAAAGTGAATATTGTGAACTTGTCCTGTATGTATGTACTTTAGACAATATTAGTTTTTTAGAGTTAAAGTATTTTTAAAATTACATCTATAAAATTTTCTCCATGTTATAACATAACCAAAGTGCATGTGTTTGTGTTGTACAACCCAACATTTGGATTATACACCATTACGATGAATGTACAAAATTATCGATCATGCAAAAGAAAATCACTCTTCCGTTTCGATGTGAAATAATGATGCACAAACACAACCAAATCAATACGAAGAAAAACAAAATACAAATGTCGACTTCCTAACAATATACTCAAGTTTTAGTAATGAGAATGATGATAAAAAAAACATGACATGTTCAATGGCCTATTTTAAGGAGGTAACTGAGCAATTATATAGATGAAATTATATAAAAAATGATATGTTCGAAAAAGAAAAACTTACATAGAAAATGTTATATTCGATTCTTCGTCGTTATCACTTTTCTTTCTCTCATTTCTTTCATTATCTATACTCATTATAGTTCAAAACCAATATCAGTCAAAGAAACATTTTTAAACTGTGCTCAATTATGTTTCTATGTGAGTAACTTTACACGCAATCGTTTCATATTTGACTCAGCACATTTTGTTGAACATCATGCAGAATTCATTTGTCCATCAAATTTTCGTAATTTAGCCGATATGATTTATGGTTGTTCCGAGCGTTACGGTCAACATATCAAAAGTACTACACGAAAAAGACAAGACATTGCACCTTGTCTTCCTAATGGTAGCATTATCTATGTTAGTCACTCATCTCTTGAGAACTTTTTTAACACAATATATCCACATTTAATTAATAAATTTGTCTTAAGGGTCATTCTCAGAAATGATTTCCCACTTTAGACTATTGATTTGGGCTGAAATTTTCAGGAATGATAGACCCTGGTGAGAAATGCTTCTGATACAAATTTCAGCGCTATAATAGAGCTAGATCGGGAGTTTCAGCTGATTCACGACCCATTTTTGCAATCGAAATAACTTGGTACAGACACAGGCTAGAGAGCTCCGGCTGGTGTCAAATTAAAGCTAATCTCAGGGCGCAACTTTTGTTCGAACAGAATTTTGAAATTCAATCCTATTCATTTTTATGAGCATTTTTGGTGACATAGTCTGTAAATCAGCATAAAAAATGATGATTCAGCGACAGCAAATTCCACTTATCTCAGCCCAGGAACCATTTCTAAAAAATCCGTTCGGACAAAAGTTAGCCCTGATTCAAACCTTTAAAACAAAAAAATATATTGGATATTGACTGAACCGGGAGTGAGTTATTTCAATTTTTCTGATTGAAAACCATATTCTGACAAAAAACGATAAATAAATTTAGAAATGGATTTTTTTACTCAATTTCAAAAAACAACATGTGAAAATGGCATATTTTCAGAATTTTGTCGATTTTTACAAACAAAAAGTGCAACTATTAAAGAAGTGGCATTATACAAAATGTAGAGCTTTTCACGCTTCATCTTGTGGTATATTTTGTTCTTTTAATACAATGTATTAAAATAGAAAAGCAATGTCTTTGAGAAACTGAAAAAACTTCCGAAAATTCAGAAAATGTCTCGAAAAACATGATATTGGGTCCCCAATCTCCTTTGGTAAGTTCATTAAAACCTGGCCTTTTTGGAAAAAGGCATATATATTCCGAAAGAGGAGACCAGCAGGGTGGGTGTGGGTGTGGATGTGGAGGTGGGTGTCGGTGTGTGGGTGTGGTGGGTGTGGGTGTGGATGAGTGTGGGTGGGTGTGGGTGGTTGTGGGTGGATGTGGGTGTGGGTGGGTGGGTGTGGATGTGAATGTTTGAGAGAAAAGATAACCCACATTCACATCCACAGGGTGGGTGTGGGTGTGGATGTGGATGTGGGTTATCTTTTCTCTCAAACATTCACATCCACACCCACACCCACCCACCCACACCCACACCCTAACCCACATTCACATTCACATCCACACCCACACCCACACTCTAACCCTCATTCACATCCACACCCACACCAACACCAACACCCACACTCACACCCACACACCCCACACCCACACCCACCCACATCCACACCCACATCCACATCCACACCCACACCCACACCCCACACTCACACCCACACCCCCACCCACCCCCACCCCCACCCCCACCCCACACCCACACCCACCCACACCCTCTATAATTTATTAGATAATATTATAGAAAGTGATCATTAGTTATTGCCTTTTTTTCTCTCTAATAAAGAATTTAAGAAACTTTTAGTTTCACGTACATAGCCAAACTTTCAGTAAATAGTTTCTTGCAAGAAGAAACAAAAAGTCATTTTTCAAGATTGCTTTATGACATTGTTTTGAAACTTAATATAAAAAGTTTTTCGATTCAAAAATTTATCACTGAAATGAAACATATAATTATCGAATACAATTATTCTTAAATGGACAAACAGAAAGCATAACAATTGCAATCAGTATAGGTATCAGTGGTAATAATTCTATTTTGTTACATATGCCATTTTTGGTAGAATTTAATAGTCAACTGAATTTATATGTCATAGATTCAAATAATTATAGATTACAAAAGTTTTTACAGGGTGTGGGTGTGGATAGCCATGTGTAAATTCTTAACTCACTTTCGAGTTTCGATAGAAGCTTCACAAGATTGAGCTCAATCGAAACCGTGTTTTGAAGCTTGAATTTGATCGGGTTCGAGTTTAGTTTTGATCTATTTTTGAATTCGAACTCAATCTGATCAAACTCAAATGATTTGGATTTGGTTCACGTGTAAATAGTATTAATGTCTTTGTTCATTCTTTTTTGCAATCAATGATTTCTTTAAAAGTGTGAGTGTGGATGTAGGTGTGAGTTTTAGCCTTCTCGCCAGCCACATCCACGTCAATGATCGTTACATGAAAAGAAGAACACAGAGAAGTTCAAGTTTGAATTAAGCATTGTTTGAGATCGATAAAGTGCCTTAAAAATGAAAAAAAGAAAGGAAGAGAGAGAGAGAGAGAGAGAGAGAGAGAGAGAGAGAGAGAGAGTCTAGCAGACAGGATTCATGGAAGGCTCCCCAAGCTGGAAACATTGGCGAACACGTTTGTACGTTGCTACCCGAGTCAATTGACTACTGTAACCTGATCCATGGTTGCACTCGAGTTGACCATTGATGATACGTGTCGTAGCAGCGAAATCACCTCTTTGAGCAGGTCCAGCCATATTGTTAGCATTATAGAACCAAACAGCTGTTTGCACCGCTAGCTTACGGTCATTTTCAACTTTATCTGGATCATTAAGAAGATCGACACCAAGAGCTTGACCTGCTCGATAATAATTGCATGGCCATGAGAGTTGAAACCAACCGCGACCATAGTACAGCTTTGATGGATTCCCCTGGATCTCACACCAAGAGCTAGCATAGTGGCTGCCACAACCTAGCATTTAATAAAAAAGCAGCAAATTATCAATTTCAATTATACAATTATGATCCGTTTTCCTTCTTTCGACACTGTGGGATTAAAGATATTCCGTACATTTCTTTCGGAAGACAAGTTGAATTTTGTGTACTCTTATTAAACTAGATGCAATAGATAAGAATCGTAACTTCATCAGTTACAAGTAGGAGTGTTGAAATTTTGGAAAAATCGTTAATTTGATTTCATTTCACTTATTCATTTTCCTTAATAGAAATCAAGGGAGAACCAGCAGAGACTTTAGCCGTGAAGTCTCACGAAATCCTATGAAGTCTTTTGATGTCTTGAAGTATGCTGTTTCCTTCTTGATAGAAATATGCACTAGTGAATCAGATTTTCTATTCACAGAAAAACTGGTGTCATAATAATATGCTCTAAAGTATTATGTTGTTCAATATTCACAAAAGCCTCCATCATACGGCATACTTTAGATGTCTTTATGCATTCAACAGTTTAGAAAAGTATACCCGGAGCACAGTATTCTCGCATTGTCTTGAGTCCATCTGTTTCATGAAATACATGTGCAAGAAAGACAGCAGCTTCTTCTTTGTTTTGAGGCTTCCAGCCCGATGCCTTCAATCCATTGAATCGATCAGTACGCGTTGTAGAATCGATTGTGTTAAATACACAGGCAAATGTATTACTATCAATATCACCAACAGAACCACTTCCACCATTACCACCACCATTTCCAGTGCATGGACCAGCTTGACAGCCATCATCACAATAAGCAGATCCTGTTCCACAATAGCCCCATTTGGACAGACACAAGCTCGGATCTTGGCAACTGGCACGAGAAAAGAATTGGCGAATCAAATTCCTCAACTGAAACTTTTTGTCATAACTGTAGCTTCGAGCATTAACGAATACGCTAAAAAACAGGAGATAATAGATGAGTTTCGCGTAAAACATATCCATATCTTCTTTCTTTGACAAAGATGGTTTCTTTGTTATCTAAAACAATCGCAAGTGAATGAAGATAACTACCTTTGACAGTTGTTACATAGATAGAGAATATTGAAGTAATGAATCGGTAAGAAGAGCTTATGTAGAATAAGATTCGATCCATATTGGTACCCAACGCACATCAATGAAATCGAAAAAAGAAGTAATGACAGGCAGATATGAACTGAAATTATAGTGCATAAATAGCTATTGCTGGTCTTTGATGTTTTTTCAAACGAAACATACTACGTACTATTATTTTTTACGCATTTTTATTAGTCACGAAACCGACGGAGAAACACATAATCAAGTGAAAGCAAACACAGAAGCAAATGAGAAAGTGATGCTGAATTACTCTGACATATGAATACATGTCAATAGAAGTAATTATAGATATTAATACTCTTTTCAATCGTACTTCTATGAATCGCTTATTCATTCATTCGTCACGACTTTTTATTAATAAAAAAAATCATTAAAATCTATTCGATCTATAATGGATTCTTTAGGTTTTCTGAAATAGTATCGATTTTAATCGATTTATATAAAAAAAAAAGTACTAAAATAAATTATTTTATTCAATTCAATCAAAAAATGTCGTGTTTAATCGATTTTTTTGTGATTATCAAATTTAATCCGAAATTTTACGATTTTTTCAAATGGATATACTAATCAATTGAGAATCACTTTAAAAGGATGTAATCGATTATGCTAAATATTGTAACAATATTGGTTTTTCTCGATTACTATTCTTGAGTTTGTAAGACTTGTTTATGAAAACAATCGATTTCAGTAATGTAACAACAATAGAATGAAACGTTTATAGAAGATTCATTTCTATACTGTGGGATTTCAAATATTTAGCATACACTCAAAACGCTATGCCAAATCCGATTCATAAATGAAGCAAACACTTATAATCGAAAGAACCATCGTATGGTTTCCAGAAGCCCATGATATATTCAGTCGATTGGAAGAATGCCGGTAGATTTTTTTACATCTTTCTGATTTTGATAATATTATTTTGAGAATAATCTGATTGTTTGAACTTCAACAGTATAGAAATGATCTTCCATAAACGTTTCATTCTATTGTTGTTACATTACTGAAATCGATTGTTTTCATAAACAAGTCTTACAAACTCAAGAATAACAATCGAGGAAAACAAATATTGTTACAATATTTAGCATGCTCGATTACATACTTTTTGAAGTGATTCTAAGTCGATCAGTAGTCATTTAGGTTGTATGAGTGGGTGCGTGGATTTTAATCCAGTATCCCGTCAGTAAGGAAGAAAATTTTGAAAGGTGCTCTGAATCAAAAAGAAATGGTTAATGTGTGATCTCGATGAATTAGGAATGAAAATGAAGTAGAGATTTGTGATATGCCATTGTTCGAAAAAACTATTAACCACTTAGTGTGGGTGGGTGTGGACGTGAGTATTAGCGTAGGTATTGATACGAATCCTCGGATAATCCATACTCTCAAGATAGGTTGTTGATTTGAATTAAGAGCTTCCCACACCCACAACGACACCGCTTACTTGTTTAATAGTGCTGAAAAGCAAATATACGTATTTGCTAAGTGATACTTGTGTATACGAATGTTGTTTTATGTGCTCGCAATCGTCTTTACTCTATATTTATAGTTGAAAAAATTACTTAGTTTTTCGCACTTAAGCTTATTTACTTGAATCAATAGAACATACAATCTTCATCGACTAAAGATTCTTTTTCGTGATACCTTGGCTTTGGTGTAAGTTTCTTTCTCATTATTTTTTCTCTCTTTTTACCTTCCTTTCTGTTTTACGTTCTTATAATGAGAAAAAATATGCATTGATATTTGTCAACACGAGTGATTTACAGTTGGGCTTGAAAGCTTTTTTCTGGGAGACAATCTCTGAAAAATATAGCAGGAGAATCAACACATTGCTAATGTATTTATTTCGTGTGGGTGTTCTTAGAGTCTACTCACACCCACCCACATCCATCCACACCCACACTCACACCTACTCCCTTAAACGTCATGATATCGGGCTGAAAATTGTACCATAGCTTCTCGACTATAGCCCCAACATGTCCTGAAAATTTCATGCAATTTGAACGTTCCTGGGCTGAGATCGATTTTTGGGGGGGGGGGGGGGGAGGCCTGAACTAAAACCCCACCAAACTAATTTATCATCAACTTTATAATCATTTGACAAATCACCATTTATACCACGAAATACTAATCCATTAGATGGTTCTAATTTCCATAGACCCGTAAGAATTAATTTTAAATAAACAAAAAAAAGGACGAAGTTTTCGACGATTAGCTGTTCGTAATATTTGATTTATTACAAAATAAAGACTTTCTTCGGATTGTGTAGCTTCCATTGTATATAATTGAATTGCTGCACTTTCATCGGGTGTTAATTTATCTTTTGGATTATGACAGGTTTTTTTTGCAATATAAAGTTTTGTTTGAATGTTTGAATCAAATAGATCTTCAATTGGCTTAATAGTCTTCTGCAGTGACAACAATGGACTATCTTGATAACCATCAATCAGCAACAAAAGTTTTCTTGATTCATTTATCAAATCACTAAAATGTTGATGTGGTATTAGCGGATCACTATCGATATTTGCTTGCTTTTTTGCCAGGTTGTTTTGTCTATAAATGCAACAAAAAATTGCTTTTCTTTTCTTTTACAACAGTAACAGCCACACTTTACGACCAAAAAAATGTTAGTCTACTAATAAGAATTTATTAGTTTATTATATATGTATTCTCTTCCTTGCTTTAAGAACGTGCAATGTATTCCTTTTTTGCTTGAAAAGCTCAGTAATTATTGATGTTTTCAAAATTGTTGTCTTTTTTTAAAAGTTCATGCAATCAAATAAATACAAAAGTATCATTACTATTCGTTTTCTTTTATTTAACATCAAATTAGGCAAGAATATAGGATCAGGTTATGTATGTTGTTATCAATGCATTTGAATAGAGATGTTTTGCTTATAGTGCTCATTCATTGAATGAATATCTATTCCATAGAGAGTGCAACTTTATGCAACAAAGAAAGAAATGAGTGATCTACCATCGAAGCTATGAAATGATTGGACAACGCAAAGTTGACTTGTTCTAACAATCAATATGTCATGCAATTCAAGAATTTGATCGCCAAATTTCAAAGCAAAAGAGAATATAGGTTTGGGTGTAAGTGTGAACGTGTGGAATTTATTTTTCTTTAATCACTCGTACCCGATACAACCTAGACACATCCGCTCATACCCTTATTGATAAACAAGAGAAAGAAGAAGTAATCAAAATTAAAGAAATAAATAATCAGATTGAAAAGCACAAAATAATAATAAAAGAGTGACATTGAAAAACAAAACCATTTAGACGATAAAAACGCGAGAATAGATAAAAAAAAACAAACTCGATAGATAGTTCATATAAATATAGATTTATTCAGAAAGACAAAATTTTTTTTTCTTATTTTTTATAACTGCTTTTCTTAATTTTCGTCGAATTTTATCCGATAAACTACAATGTTGTAAAGAAAGTAATTTCAATGTTTGATTTTGTTCAATTATTTGAATAAGAGCTTCGAATGATTGATCAGTTATTGATTTATTGAATGATATATGAAGCTTTTCCAAAGGTGGACATGTTGAATCAGTATTAACACCACAAAGTACATCGGCTAATAATCGAACACCATGATCTGTTATATTCGTATTTGGTAAAGCAAGAAAAGTAACTGATCGATTTTTTTGTAATAAATTAATTAAATGTTCGATTCCTTTATCTCCTATATTTGGATTATTCGAAAGACTGAGATATTTTAATTTAGTTCGTGATGAAATTAATGTATCAACGAGCATTTTAACACCAGTCGATGTTAAAGCATTATCACGTAAGATAAGACCAATACATTTTGATTTATTATCATAAAAAACTCGTTGTATGATTAATATCATATCATCATCAGTTATATTCATTGAAGATAGATTCATTATACCAAGAATATCCATTTCGTGATTGTCTGAAAGCTTCTCTTCCAAAGACATATCTTTTGGATTTGTATCTTCTGATAAATAAAATTCTTCTTCACCTGTTAGATTGATATCTTCTTCTATATGTTCATTTTTTCGACTATTGACACTGGTTTTGTATTCTTGTAAACTTTCATTACTGTCACTTTTGTCAATCTAAGACAATAGTCAAGTCTACTTGATAAATTACTTAAAACTTCTAAAACTAACGTTAGCCGATTTTCGAATTTTCAAAAAAAAAAACAAAATAAGTTACCGTGAAATTTCCTTATGTATTATTCCATAAAAGAATTCTCTACTAATTCATAAAAGAAGAAAAAATTAATTGATATTACCTGTAATTTTGAAAGAGACTGTTCGACTTGATGATCATTATTTTCGTCTTCAGTTTGAGATTCTTCAAATGCTGATAGATGATCATTATTATTCGATTTTAAATTGTACTGTTTTGAAAATTTTACAATTTCAGATTTTTCTTCACTGGTTGGAGCGAGTGACCATCGACATTTACTTGTTCTAATCAAACAATTTTAACAGATAAATTATCTCATAAATTATTCAATATATACGAAGTGATGTGTTTATATTGAAACGAATTATATAGACTGTTTTCTCGTCGGTGACTTATTCAGATTTCATAGTTTTTATATAAACCTATCTTACTTCGTTTGTGGATGTTGTGAGAAAAATCAATTTGAGATAAACAAATGTTTTGTAATAGAGTAGCTGATAACATCACAATGGTCACTGAAACACTATTTTTTTTACAAAAGGTAGACATTCATCAAAGTATTGTAGTTTGGTTCCAAATTAATAGTACGAATACATTAGCTGTTAGTCTATCAATTTTGAAAGTTTCGACTATAAGAAGTGAGAATTTCTTGAGAAATCGTCCAGTATCATCTTGCTAAGACTCAAATAGACCGTTGTTGTAATGCTTGTTTCGCTATCATTTCCAGCTCGATTCAAATTTTTCGATGATAATTATAGATGCTTGAGATATTTTCACATGTAGATAATTCTACAAGACAGCTGTAATTACTATTTAAGAATAGAATCAGCATTACAATAAGCATCGTTTTAGTCTCAATAAGATAATACTTGACGATTTTTTAAAAAATTCTCAATCCTTATAATTGTAACTTTCAAAATCGATAGACTAACAACCGATGTATCCGTAGTATTAATTTGGAGTCAAAAGGCAACAGTATGACGAATAAATTTGAAAAAATACATTTGTATATCTTTTCTCAACAAGTGTTTTAACAACCCTTTCCATGTCATTAGTTATTATATTCAAAAATCACTCAGTTATCTCAAATTGATTATTTTAGCAACATTTACAGACGAAATCACATGAATTTATATGAAAATCATGCAATCTGAATAAGTCATCGATGAAAAAACAATCTATGTAAATTGTTTCAAAATAACTTCATCACTCTGTAAGTCTAGTCGAATATTAGAAATATCTTATTTTTATTAATTCTCTTTCGATTTCAAATACCAAACACTATTTTCTTTATCAGACATTCATATTTGATTTTGTTTCTAATAAATATTTTAAAATCAACTATTGAGAATTAAAGAGAAAAAGTTTTCATTATATTGACCTTTGAAAAAACTTCTGGATATTATTTTTAATGTATCATCATACAAATTCTTTATTTGTCAAATATTGAATCATAGATTACCTGTTTTTTATCTTTGAATTATCTATCAAAGGCACAATTGATGTGCTTCTTGTTTTTTTAACTTCAAAATGCTGCTTGGTATCTGGATCATCTTTATGAAAATTGATTTTTTCACAAACAAGATTGTTAAATGAAGAAGGACCAGTACGAGATTCCATCTCTCCACTCTGTTACTGCTATTATTATTCAATGATTTTATGTTTAAATAATATTTTCATGCACTATCGTCACAAAAAAAGAACCAATTAAGGACTTTCTTCTCAATAGCGTGATTTCTAAATTTTTTTTTTTACCGTTCATAATTCAATCGTTTTCTCTGAATTATTATTGCGCATAAACTTTGACTATCAACATATAAATTATATTTAACTTATATTCATTTGAGAATAATTTATCTTAATAAAAATGTAGTCTATATCAATCGTTTTTTAATCAATTAAGGTTCAATAGAAAATGATTCATCTTATAACAACGACCTATTGAACCTTGGAAATAAAAACTACATTGAACAAAGCATTAGTCTTATGTTAAATTTGGAAAAGTAATCACGCAAAAGATAAATCTAACACTATACTAATTCATAGTAAATGTAGGAAAATGTAAAATAATAATGCTAAAGCTAATACGCATAATTTGCACATTTAATTATCGGTTAAAGGCAAAAAAAATAGGTCGGTATTACAAACTTTTCTGATTTATTTTTTGTGAGAATAATTATCTCGGACATGAAATAATAAGACGAGAAGCACAATTCAAGTAAAGAAATTAGTACTCAATCAATAATATTATAATTATCATCGAAGAATGCTCAACACATCGATCATTGAATATATTCGATTTCAATGATATTTTCATATATGTTATTAAGATATCCCTATAATAGATAGATAAGTCTATTTAGATATGAAAAGAAAACAATATAGAAGTTCATTTTAATGATGTTGACAGTATGCTTTAAAGTCTTATACGAAGAAAATTTGCTTTGACATTTCTTTATATTTTGAAATTTAACTTACTAGAATAAAACATTCGAAAAATATATTTCCAAATAACTATTGTAGTTTAGTTGGGTCGCGTTCACTTGGCCGACAATCACTTGGCCGACTCATCACTTAACCGACACCACTTCGCCGACAAATTGTTTGGCGGACATGTACACTTCGCCGACAACTCATTTGGCCGACAAATATTTGAGATCAAAAAAATTGAAATTTCTTGAAAATATTGCGTGGATTTTTCCCACTCATTCACCTATAAATAGTGAACATTTTTCAAAATAAAATCAGACGACGATTTTTTATCAGTTAAAACAAGTCTCCCGCTAACAAACTGTTTCCCGTGAGATAAGTTCGATTTTCTTCGGGGCGTTGCCCATAATCTTTCATTGTAAATAAATGTGACTTTTGACAAAAAGATTTTCTGACGCAATATTTTCAAGAAATTTCATTTTATTTTACTTCAAATATTTGTCGGCCAAATGAGTTGTCGGTGAAGTGTACATGTCGGCCAAACAATTTGTCGGCGAAATGGTGTCGGTCAAGTGATGTGTCGGCCAAGTGATTGTCTGCCAAATGACACAGACCCGTTTAGTTTTATGTATTAAGCATATATTCACTATCAGCAAGATTAGTTAAATGATATAATCAACACAATCTATAAAACTTTTTTACTGTTTTTTGTTTTGATAGACAGCGTTTCTTCAATTGAACCTGCGAAGATGAAATTTGTGTTAGCTATTGTTTTACAAAAATACATACGATCATCATTCATTATCTTATGAATTTGTTTTGCTTCTCATAGATATATCGAATTATTCATATTAAAATACGTTCGATAAGATAATATAGTCTTCCGATCATTTCTATAATTATTTCAATATTAAGATGAAATTCTTGATCGTATCAATCATCAAGAATTGATAAGAATTTTCTATTTTCGTTTGTAATTACTTATGGTATATCAAAAATAGTGGCGCCATCGTTTTATATCTTTAAAAGAAAGCTTAAATAAATTTTTGTCTTTTATGTAGTGATAGAGAAAACGATACTCTGTTTTTCTCTGCCATTTGATCATTCTTCAACTAAAATCACAATGATAAAATTTCGATAAGAACTATTTTTGTGTACAATTTCACGAATACATAAGGCCAACTAAAACGGTCATGG